AGCAATAAATTGAAGCGGCAATTTATGACAGCTGGTTTGCGCCCTACCATTTATGACTTTGGCCAGATGGCGATCATAAATGTAGTAGCGCTAAATAGGCATAAATAGTATAGCATTTAGAACCATAACTGTCTGTAATTATCTTATTTTCAAACATCGGCTTTTAATTAGTTTTCTTGCTTTACCGTTTTTGTTTGATTTATTTCAACCACTTGGCAGAAAATGTCCTTAACGCGACAAATGTCTATAATGCCCTATTCAAGAACTACTACTTTTTAGTTATTTTCTCTTTTTTGTCAGCTTCATTCAATATTTCCCTCATTTATTTATTCACCAATGTTTAACCTTGAAAATCTCATTTCGATTTTCGCCCTAGGTACTTGTTACTACATATCAATGCCAGCTCATACGTACCGCACAAGCGTTCCTCAATACTCATTCATTATTTGGCACAATTTCTGCACATGTACAGTAAGTACTCGGCCAAAATATCTCACTTGCCAAACCTTCAGAATGCTGCTTTGCGGTTGAATCCCTGCAGGAACAAAATTGCGTAATCGCAGTTGTTACCTTTAGAGGCTGAATATTTTCAAATATGGCTGACAGGGGCCATTTGGTAAAATCTTCCAAGCATAAACTCTTTAGAGACTTCCAAAGATTAATGTTCTTGAAAATAATAATTTAATATTATAAAAGATCTTGTAAAAGGTTCGCGTGCGCGCAATGCTCCTTGGGGATCGGCAAATGCATTAGCGACCTGCACCCTGATAAAATTTCTGTGTAGGCACATTCAACCCTTTCAGCTGGAAGGCTTCAAAAGGTTTTTGACAGAAGAATAAAACTACCAACTATACTTCCTTATCGAAACATTGCATTTTTGTCTTGAAAAATATAAAAATAAAAATAAATGGCTTTGAATAGAGTTTTAGCTGTTAGCAATGTTAATTTTAACTTATAGGTACGGTGACCGTTCGTACCGATTTTGGCGCGACAGTCCCAATTTTGAGAAAATTGTCCCGCTGAATATTTTGTAAAAATCGGGACGTTTTTCTCTTTGCTTTGTTTGAAAGAAAACTGTATGAAATGATGTTATGTCTTTTTATTCTAAAAACAAAATTGTATGTTCGGTTTCGATGCTTTAGAAATGCCCCGATTTTTGTCTACACAAATCTGGTCACCGTACATCTAGGCAAACAACTTTGATTAGTTCAAAGATAGTGTGAAGAAAACAGTTTTACTAAAAAGCAGAAAGCAAACCAAGCGTAACCAATTCAACACAATTTTCTTCTGAATATACATACATACATATACATTTATGGAACTTGGATGTTATAAAAATACTATAAACAAGCAGAATTTAGTCTCTTCTCTTGACGATCGAGAGATATAACTTCTATTGTATTGTAATCTATTAAGTTCCGGTCCAATCACCTCAAATGTTATTTAAACTTCCGTTTACCTAGCCTATCAAAAAGAAATTTATCTCATCAATCCAAATTTTTCCTACAGGGAATCTTTTTCAATACAGAATACGACGACCTGTGAGTGTATGCAGTTTTGTTTAAGTTCTCTTTTTTGAATGTCACCGCCAGCTATTCTCCCTGCTCTTTGGTAATTTCCTATTTACTTTAGATTGTATGCACTTCTTTAGAAATTTAATAGGTCAACCTGTATTGATGAGTTTCGAACGATTGAATGGTACTGCCTGTGAACACTTCAGTTTTAGAATGTGAAGAATATTAAATATTTGAGCAGAATTTTCACTTCTACCGCAGATAATTTTTGGAATATTTATTTCACTACGTTTGCTAAGAGCAATAAATTTTCATGGAATGTTGTTGGTTGAGAGGAAATAAATCTGTTTTTTTTTTTTACAAAGTAAATAGATGCAAGCCATGGGAAAAATGAATATGGTTTTTCATTTATTCGAATATATTGAATATGACGATTCGTAGCATAAATACATGAATTTTTTGCTGTATTTAGATTTTTCCAAAGATCTTGAAGTGGACAAACTAAAACGTGAATTTTATATATCAGACTTGAATTAATTCTGTCACCTTTCATGGCATTATCAGTACAGTAGAAGTTTTGACGTCACGAAGATCTCATAAAGAGAGTGGAAAAATAATCTCATATTAAGAAAATCCCGGCTGTCTCATCTGATATAATAGCATCTCAGTTCCTTATAATTATATATTTTTTAGTCTTTGAGTGATTATTGTTAGGCCAAATCCAGGGCATAACTTTCGATCAAAACAATGTTTTTTTTAAGGTAAACATGATTGCTTGACTTAACCGTTTCTTGGTAAATTCGGAGATCAAATTATGTATGAAGAATTAGTAATGTACAATTGTTTCACTTACCTACTCACTATGCACTTTTTTATATTTACCAGCTACTCACTTTATGCGTAATCAGACATTGAAAGGTGCACCCTGCGTCAAAAAATTTACTTTGACATTGAAAAAATTAAATAATGGGCGGTAACCAAGGGTAATGAACTATCGATCACTCGTCGCAAAACGTGTATGACTTTCTGTTTCTCAAATGCCATTTAGCATTATTGAATACGAAATATGTATGTATATGTCTTTTCACTTAAATAATATCGTTTCCAGTAACAGTGAAAAGATCAATCCAGCTTCAGATATTGACCTGCAGAAAGGCTGATTATCTCTGCCACCAGAAAACGGACTAGAATTTGCGAATTGTCTACTGAGATGCCTAGACCTTCTACAGAGAAAGCGCCTCTATACAATTGTTGGGCGTCTTACAGAAGTATATTGCTGACATTAATGATACCTGCTCTTGAAATTTTCTTTAAACATACCTGGGGTTGGATCTATACTGAATTAGGCAGCCGTATATTCTATTGGTTACACCCACTAAGTAGTGGCAGAAATTTATTAGAATGGTCGATCGACGAGTTAGTTGTGGTGTTCATAATAACGGTTGAAAGGTGACGTAGAGAGGAGCTAGCAGGAAAAAATAAGGGTCCGACGGGAATTGTATAAATTGGACTTGGAAATTACAAGCGAGATAAATGAATCTAAGCGTATTCTTCGAGAAACTTATGCAATAATGTGGATGACAGCCGTGGCTCCTCGAAGTTTAAGCATCTGAAGGATGATCGGGAAATCATGGTATTGGGCAGTGGTGAGGAGTGGCCCAATCTGTTCCCAAGTAATCTGGAATCGAGCACGCTTCCTATAAAGATTTCAGACCAATTAATCATTCCTCGTTCATTTTAAAAGCTCAACAAATCAGCATACCTACTGCAAGGGCAGATCGGTATAATCGGATTAACGCGGAGTTACCGAAAGGCTTTCAATAACGTTCTGCTTGAGGCAGTCGTAAACACACTAAATAAATCGCAAGTCGATGTCGACCTTGACAGGTGTATTTAACGCACACTTTGCAACAAATCTTTTACGGCAGAGTGGGCAGCGCTTTCATTCAAAGAGAAAATTCAGTAGATATGCCCCTCAAGAGAGAGCTTTTCTACCACTACTTTAGATTGTGATCGCCAACGATCAGCTGGAAACTCTGACAGTGACAGCAATCGGCATACTTGACAATCGCCGATGGCGTTCCAGCCTTGTATAGAATACAACGGCGGAAAAATTTTTGCGCTTCTGCTCCGGTTTTTTTAAGGATTAAAGGATCATTGAAACAGCTCGATGGACAGGAGAATTAAACCTAAAAAAGTTGTTAAATTTAATGCGTTTTTCTAAGGATTAAAGGATCATTGAAACAGCTCGATGAACAGGAGAATGAAACCTAAAACAGCTATTAAATTTAATACAATTTCAACAATTTCTTACTGTGTCTGCAATTTATTCTGAATTTGTAGTAGTCCGATCGGAGTTGGGTCCGGCTGTTTCGAGTCTTCTTTGGGAACTCGATTTCCTCGTTGAAGGTCCCTTTTTTTTGTTTAATTGAAATAAAGAACACCTTGTTTTGGGTCATATGAAAAGTCCATGCGGATTTTTGGCTAAATTTTTGAAAAAGTTTTCTTTATTGAAAATGTATTTTAATCAAGTGTGTACATATTGGCCATTCTTATCTATAACCTTTCAATTTTTCGGGTAAGTTCATAATTCCATCGGAAAAGAACTTCTGTAGTTTGTCGGCGAAAAACTTGGCCAAGTGATTTGCACCGGCTCTTCGCTCGTCCAATTTGTTACCATCAGAAACCGAAGCAAATGAAACTCGGATGTATGCAAGATCTGCGTTATACGTGCGTATGCATTAAAACTAACTTCCCAATCAAGTTTCCACACTTTGTTCTGAGTCTTCAAAGATGTGTATGGTCTGGATTGCCTCCTCTATCTGCTGACAGCTTGCATGCTTTGCTTGTTCAACCATTTGCATTATTTCATCCACTCTTCCAGTGACTGGCTGACCTAAACTAAATAAATATATTTCTCAGTGTAAGTGGGTTTCTTCAAATCGTTATCAGCGCAGTTTGTGTTCCGAAATAAAAAAAAAAAAAAATAAATCGAGACTGCCCAGATTTGTCTAATCATAAAGTAAATATTTTTGGTGTCCCATTTCTTTTGTCTCATACTAAAGAGAATATTTACAATCTAAATTGTGTAACTATTTTCAAGTTTTGAAGTATTTCAGACCGTTTAAAAATTATTAATTAATTAATTAATGGTAAATATTTTTGTGTGCATACAATTTTCCAAGATTTAATAGTTAGGTCAATAATCTTTGCGATCTTCGATTGAGTCATAAATCACAACAACCTTTACTTCGATTACTTACATATATGATAACTACTTACATATGAATGTATGTACATTTATACAAAAATATATATATATGTCAATGATGCATACAAATATATATATAGGTACATTTAAACAAAAAGCTCTGTATAAACTACGCGTATTTACTCATCCAACATTCCCTTCTTTTACTGCAATTAATTAATTAGTCAAAGTCAAGGCTCATAAAAATCGTTTTATTCTGTTCTTTGTTCTTTTAGCTTCCCGCTCCAACGACTGCTTCCAACTAAGAACGATATTTGAAGGTTAACAAAGAAGTCGAAGTTTTACGTTGATGCCAAAAATGTAGTTAGTGGTAATATACGGCTGCCAAGAAATTTCAAAAAACAATAAAAGAAAAAAGTAAAAAATTTCACAAAAATTTGTTTAAAAATAATATCAAAAAGTATGACATGTAAACCCAATAAAACAATAAAAAGCGAGAGGTGAATTCTAAAATCAATTGGAACTTATTAAGCTGGAGAAATATAACTCAACACATGTTCCACACGCCAGCCGATCGTGGAAGTAGACAGCTTTACCTGGAACCACTTGCTGGAAATGATAACAACCGTTATTAGCAGTGACACAAACCTTAGCTTAGTGAACGTCGATAAAGCAGTGTACGCGAAGTAATTTGAAAGCTGCTTGGCTGCTTGGTGTGTGGTTTGTGTATTGTACACGTACATGCTGCTTGTGGATCATCACAAAATCACACGATCATATAAGAGAACACGATATAAGTTCCAAACGGTGAAAACGACGACGTAGTGAATACACCAAAGCACCAGCAGCAAACAGCAAGCAAGAGCCAAATAGAGGAGGAACTGGGCTAGCCAACAATGGATTCCACAGATGGGCGCATTGTACGCGCTCCAGCGCGTCGCCGACGAAACGATGAGCAACTTGTCGATCGGGTGAGTACAAAAATGCATACATACATGTACATATGTATATATGTACATGAACATTTGTGTATACATCTGTAAGTACAATACATTTATCAAGTCCATGTTTTTTTATGGTTTTACAATTTTTTTCTGCTTGGAAAGAGTTAAAAAGGGGCGTTTAAATGTCGCTTATGACCACTAAAGATCACAGTATTGAGGTAGGCGTTGAATGCAAGAAAGATAGGACTATCAGCATGCTTCTCTTTGAACATTGTGTATCATCATGTACATATTATGTAAATTGGGAAAATTTTTCGTACTCCAATGTTATTTCAGAGATCACAACATCTTCTCATCACATTTATTTTCTAGACTTCTAGAGATCGAGCCAGCATTATCGATTTGCAAAGTCAGCAACGCTAACCGCTGAGCTAAGCACACCCGGTAAACTCTCGCTGCTTATCTTGATATTGAGGCTCTTTGTAAGGATGCGGCTCGATAAGTTTTAGAAGGTCTCGTTCGTCTTTGATTCACCAACACTCGTCTAACAATTAAAGGAGTATACAACCTGGGGACACGATCGAATAGCTTAAATTCTGAAATAGCCACCGGCCAGTTCTCCATCTTCCAGAATGTTCATCTTATTAGCGTCGACTCCTAAGTTGGAGAATAGCTTTGGTAGTGCTTGCCTTGCCTGGGCAAGCAAAAAGCTTCCAAACAAATTCAATAAGCAGTGAATTTAATGTCCAGAGCAGCGGCAAGCTAAGCAGTTTATTTGTCAATCTGGAAAGGCAAAGAAATGGGAATCGGTAGAGAAATGGCAGCAGATATCGTTTGCGAAAGTTTGGAAGAAATTTAAATTTTGGCTGGTTTTGTGACACGGCAAGAATGAAAATTTGTATGACCTCAAACTCCTTCAATTTCATCTTTCAAACTAATCAGGGATCGCTGGGACTACTCCTTCAAAATTCGAATTGAATTTTACACGGCCATATAAATTTTGCGGGAATATCAAATTCAGGCATCGCGGCTTAAAGGACCATTTTACGAGCTGTTGAAAGCTGCCTTTAAGTCGACAAATAGGTTTTGCAATAGGATTTGCACTGATTCTTTTTCTTTAACCTTTTCCAAGATTGGGCGTATTGTGAATACCCAAAACACTCGGCAAGACCTTGTAAGCACAATTTAGAACTTCACATAGTTCCACAAAAATCGGTCTAAATCTCAGAATTTCTCATAGTTTGGCTTGACCATAGCCCAGTCACAAAAATTTCAATTCTACTTTCTTCTAATATAAACTGTTATCAGCTACCGATGCATCCACAGTATCAGCTTCTCACCGTCGTACTGACATATCTGTGCACTACGTTAAGTTTGAGCTCAAGTAAGATTATAGGGACTGTTCTTGTAAATACTACACGCAAGGTGGACGCAGAGGCTCGGGGATTTTCCAGCAAACTGTACCTACATGTCCTAAAATCAGCCTTATATTTTGCCGAATCAAGGTAGACGCTCTTGTAAGGCGGCCTCTAAGCTGTCTAGGTCTTCGAAGAAATATTTTAGTTTAGAGGCCCAGACAACTGCAACATTTTACTTTACACATTTTATGTAGTTCTTTACCGAGATTCTCCTCTAATTTGTGATGAGCCGGTTGCTGGGATCGCACAAATGGAAGGACCTACAGTTTTAACGTCGCGAACGGCATAACGTTTTTTACGAGAAGCTCTGTTGTGGCTGAAATATACTTCGAGTTTTCTGCCTGAAACTTAATTGGATGGATCCTACTGGGTAGTATGCACACCTCTAGCTACTCTGCCACGGCGGCTGCCTTCGAGAAATGTTTCATCAGAAGTCTACACCGCATTCCATACAGTGTTAGACGTTCTCGAAAGAAGCACTTTCTGTTCCTCGGCATACATAAATCTGTATACTGGCCACCGAACTTAGCTACCATGTTTCCGTGCGGTTAATAATCCTATGAAAAGATTTTTGGCATGTTTGGTTAGTCTCAGCAGATTCCTTGTTCCCCATTCCTCTAGCGATCGAGATACTTAATAACTACTCTGGCCCTCCTTGGCTTTTGCGATGAGTCTCAGGTGGATTACATACTTGGAATCGTGCTTCTATTTACCTTTGCAGCAGGCCGATTTCTCCCACACTTGATGCTCCTTCTTGCCCATAGGCAAAGACAAGGATGTAGGCGAAGACACAGATAATGATAGGTATAAAGATAACCACAGAGATAAAGACAAAGACAAAGACGCAGTCATAGGCAACTACAAAGCGAAATAGATGACGACAAAGATAAAGATAAAGATAAAGATAAAGATAAAGATAAAGATAAAGATAAGGATAAGGATAAGGATAAGGATAAGGATAAAGACAAAGATAGAGATAGAGATAGAGATAGAGATAGAGATAGAGATAGGGATAGGGTTAGGGACGACAGCCTCAGTTTTTTTTTTGAAGTGGAACTCAGTCACTCAGTGAAATGACGTGAAGCAAGTCAACATAAAATCTATCGCAAAAAGGTCAATATATGGCGCAGTGAAAACAAGTCTTTACGTCGTTCACTTTTATAGAAGCCCATGATTACGTACATATTTGCCACTTTTATTACATGAGAAAAATTTCAATTGAATTACCACAACATAAAAGTAACAACGGAGACAAAATTGCATTCAGTAAAAACGCTGTCTGCTTTTAATTATTATTTTCTAACTATCTAATAAACTTTCAGACGTTTCCCATTTAAATGACATTAGAATTAATAAAGTTATATTAAAAAACAGCAGAAAATTGCCATTAACTATTATTAAACCGCAATATCGACAAGATTAAGAATTTTCTCCTTTCATTGAATTCTTTGCATGCAAAAAGTGCCACCGCTCGCTCGTCTTTTAGATGGAGGCTTTGTGAAGACGCTAAGCGCTCGCTTCTGCTGCTGCTGTTGCCACTATCATCTAACTACTGTTGCTGCCATTCCGCACCTCCTTCCCCCATAAACCACACAATTCTTTGCGTCCAACTGCTAATGCGGCGAATGCCAATGCACTCAAATGAGTTTAATATGAAATGCAAATACGTATGTACGTACGTACGGAGCATTTTATATGGCATACGGAAATCCACAATGGTTAGAAATTTATACGCATTTGTGCGCTTTTTTCGCTACATATTTTTAATAAACTTGGCTTTTTATCTTTAGCTTTGTTGATATTTTTTTGTTCTAGGCATTGCAACCAGCTACATTACCGTTCATTTGTCTGTCCCATTGTTGGATGGTCGATCACACATTGATTTGAGTTCCCGCGTGCTGTGCTGCTGCTGTTTTTGATTTATTTAACTGGGTTTCTTGTGCGTTTATGCCACAACTATTATTATTGCTTTTGTTGTTTTATTTGTCACTTCGCTGTTGTTGTTGTTGTTGTTGGTCTCTTGTTTTGTCTTGCCTTGCATTGCCTTGTCTTTCACCAACGGCAGCGACGGAACTGTCGTTGTTAGACAACTTTTTCCAATCCAATCTCCAAGACTTCTTGTGTGCCGCTAACTAACTACGAGAAAAGTATTGGCTTTGGCAAATAAATGGTGCGATAAAATTGCAATTGTCTCCTTTTGTCGTCGACATCGTCAGCATCGACAACATTGTTGTATTGTCGGTTGTTTTTTGTTGTTGTTATTGCTGTTGCTGAATTCATCATCGCCTGCTTGATCGCCTGCCGCTTGCAATGTGCAACACTTAATGGCAATTTTCTCTTTGACAACAAACTGAACTCAATTGTCAGCTGCAAATCCAAATACCTTTGGCCGCATACGTATGTAAGTGTCGTTGTGTTGTACGCCGAGGTGAAACGTGTTTGGTTACGGATTTGCCTTGATACCTCATCCAATGGCAATTGCGACTGTTCGACTTTCTGTCAAGAAAAATGAAAACTGTGATAGATTACTTGGTTTGTTCCATAAAGCAATCGTTGTAGATGTGCTAGAGGAAATACCTTTTTTTTTGTTACAATTTATTGTTGACAAGTGATTTAAATTAGCAGTTTAATTTGTATTAATCCTTGTAGAAGAAGCATAGTTTTAGAACCTTCTTAGAGGGATATCCCGCCTACTCCTACAACTGCAAATCTTCACAAAGCCTTATCCAGATGTACTATAGAAACCAGGCGAGCAATAAGAACAATAACTGGGAAGAAGAATGCACCCGCCTTGCTTTCTGCCTACTCCCAATGAACAGAAGACGCAGTGCCGAGAGTTTAGATCTTCTCCATCTGAGTGGAAGCTTGCAAAAAAGCGATTCATCCGGTGATCAATCGGACGAATGTGGGACTAGTTAGATCGCTACAAAGCCTCTAAGGTAGACGGCATTACCTTACCCTTGGTGCTCTCGAAGCAGGTTGAGTGTCTCCGACTGCCACACCGCGAAAACATCATGAGGGACTGTTTGTCTCTATTTTATCTATCTGGCAACTGTCTTTCAACACACAAAAGTCTTTCGTAAGACAATTGTCAATTCTGGCAACTTTCTTGAAATCTCTTTACTTACTGTCTTTCGAAAGACTAAATAATTGAAAGATTTGCCAACTAGGAGGTCTTAGAGTTGTGCTGTTCGCCGTTTAGCAATACTGTTTAAATTACATTCGATTAAAAAATATATATTTTTCTTTTTTTAACAATAAAAACAAATAAACAAGGGGAAATTATACCAAAATGAAAAATAACAGAAAATAAGATAAAGCGAAAATAAAGTAAAAATATTTTTAAAAATTAAATGAAATTAAATTTAATTTAATTTTTTAAATTAAATTATTTTTAAATTTTTTTCTTTTTAAAACAATAAAATCTAAAACTTTAATTAGAAAAAGAAATTAATTGAATCAAAAAAGAAGAAAATTGTACTTAATAAATAAATACAATTAAAAAAAAAAATTTTTAATTTCTAAAATCTAAAAATTTAAAAATAAATTATATTACAAAAGACAAAAAATAAAGGGGAAAAATATATCCAAAAAACTAAATGAAATTAA